AATATCAATGAAATACCCTATGAAAACCCTTTTAAGGGGGGATAGTACATAACAATGGATGGCCATACAGAGTGATTTTGAAATCCTGCATTAACATCCAATGGAGATTTTTTACCTTGAAGTTTTGAAGAAAATAAGAATTTTAAGCAACATTTGGCAGCCTATTTGTAGTACAAAAATACATTTCTGATTTTTTATAATAAAACAAAAAATGTTAAAAACATAAATTGGGAGCTTTTTATATTATTCATTTATTTTCTTAATGATCGCATTTAGAAGATAAACAACAATTTCTATAATTCCATTAAAAATTATAATGCTCTCTAGAGACGAATCATCTGGAACAAAATAAAGGCACTAAAATATCAAAAATCTGTTAAGAGTATTCTTAGGATTTTTTTAACACTGTTCTTTAGATCTAGATTTTCTTGCAGTTGTATTCGATCACACACTTCAGGAGTTGGGTGGCATAGTCTGGATATGAGGAATCTCGTTTGTATCTCTCCCAATGAACTTTAAAATTGGAGTGCAGAGCTTCTGTTGCCTGCTCACTGAAGAGACCCAATCCTGTTTTCTTGATTTTGATGAACTGAGGTACATGGTAAAACACTGCACGTACTTTTGGAGTAACTGAAATGGGTAGGCGGATGTAGCTTTGTTTGAACTTGGAGATCTTCGATTCATAATCAGGATCCAAATTATTGCCAAAGTAAAAAATGACCACATCATTAAATAGTGCAAGTGTTTACATGAAGTCATGAGCTTGACTAAAATTGTTGTATCCTGTGACCAATTGCAACTTGTCTAAACCTCTCAAGAACTTCATGCAGTCATTTCCATTGAAATGTCCGCCATGGTAGGGCTGAATAGGAATATGAAGTGAAGCTGGCCATTTCTCGGCCCCTGGCCAAATTTTGCAAAGATTTTTATACAAATGGTTTACTACTCCAAGTAACAAATGGAGCTCCATTGGAGGGGTAGCTTCAAGCACAAGCTTGTGATCAAGAAAATCAACCTATGGTACGTGAATGACATTTTTGAACTCCTTTGATTTTCTTGTATCTCCTCCTGCGTTGATGAATTCAAAATGTTGTCTCCTAATCTCGCCAAAAGTTCGAGGACTTTCACAGTTTTGGAGGTTTAAAGACGAAACATCACACCAACAACATGGGTGTTTGCTGCTATGGGATTGAATGCCACACAGAATATTTGCCAACTTTAGGTCACATGATATGACCAGAGAATCCATCTGACATTTCTCTTGTACTTGGATGAGGTCAAAAATTGCCTTCACATTATGGTAGTTCTCTGGAGTGTTTTGTGCAATTGCTACCAGTAGTTGCTGCTTGACACTTGTTGATTTAGTTGTTTGTGGAGACATCAATTTGATTGTTTTCTGCAGTGGGCTATGTGGCGGTGTCTCACCTTCATCCACAATGATGTGTGTGAAGCTGACTTTCAAAAAAGATCCTCCACCATCAATCCCTAGTTTCAAAATTGCAGAATCTGTCATCTTTCTTGATGCTAAGAAGACATCACTAAGACTACTGAGGTTTTGACAATGCACAACTTGGGATATTTGATTGTTTTCAGCAAGAGTGATGCTGCTCACAGTGAAGTGATCACAAAGTTTTTGGCCTGCTTGAGCGAATTTTTGCTGAAAACTTGGCTCCACCAATCTGATAGGACTGATTTGATTTAGTGCCGATCCAAGTTTTCTCATCCCATTGTTTGAAAGTCCTATATTCTGCTGAATTTGAACCATATTCTGCGTTGTGAGAGGCTCTTTGAAAAGTTGCTGTGCTGATGAAGGTCCTAATTATAAAAATTGCATTTAAAAAGTAATTCATGACCTTCAAAAAATATTAATATTTTTCAAAAACTTACTTAATTTAAAAATAAAACTTTCTCTGCAAATATATTTGCAGAGAAAATTTTATTTTTAAATTAAGTAAGTTTTTGAAAAATAAATAAATAATATTTACATTTTAATTTAATCATTTAAAGTTCAAAAGCACTATTACCTTTTCTCAATGGCAATAACTTTCCACAAGGTTGACTGAGTCTGATGGCGCCATGAGGAGATGCACTTTTTGATGCCAAAACTGTTGCTGCAACTTGCTCTGCACCAATTAGATCAGAGGCAGCCATTCTTCTCAAATTTTCATGGCGTGTTCCAGGAGTGCAGTAGTGAGGAAGCCCACGACCAATAACTGACAAGCACTTAGTACAATGCTTTTCTGCATTTTGCGAAGATTGTTGGGGAACTTTTGGTGCTGAATCTTGAACCTTGCTTAATTGATGCCTTTCTTTTCCCTTGAGTTTGGCAATCTTACAAATCAAGCACTCACAGACTGTAGAAAAACGAGTAAGAGACTTGATCGAAATTGATTCAAAGTCATAAATCTGAGGCACAACATTTGTTTTACCATCACACAGCTTTCCAATGTGAGATCTGCAGGAGATGCAGGTCGCCAATGGTACTCTGTCATCATTAAAGTTGATTTCTTTCTGAATTTGTTGAAGAATTTTAGCTTTGAAGTTTTCAGTCAATTCTTGATCACCTTTCTTCATACAGATAACACAAACAGATTTTCTACATTCTTCATGGTTTTTGGCAAATGTTGGCATCTTTAAATTCTTAAATATTTGTTCACAAAAAAATATGTTTTCCTTCAAAAACTCTCTTAAAGTGTACTGCCTTTTCCCAGAATATATTTGTTTACTCTTTTCGTTAGTTTCGAAAGTTCGATTTTACGCTTGCACTGATCAAAACGCTCAATAAAGAATTATTTCAAAAAAAAATGAATAAAACAATAAACATTTTACGTTTCATGGGCTACAATCTTTATTTTATAAAAAAAATTAAGGGAGCAAGTTTAGTACCATTAATAGGCAGCTTAATTTGGCTCATAAATCAACCCTTTTAAAAAACCTTCATGATCAAATAATTCTTTTTGATGTTAATCCCCGATTTCAAAACAACTCAATATAGACTCCCATTGGCATGTACTATCCCCCCTTAAAAGGGTTTTCATAGGGTATTTCATTGATATTAGGGTCCCAAATTTACAAACCGTGTCACCTGTTTGACACGCACCAACAATTTTCTTTTGTTTTAAGTAACAATTGCTATTTTTATATTAAGAAATCATTCAATTTTATCTCAAAATTTATATATTAAAAGAAAAGGAAATTGACCTAAATAATTTTCCGCTAGAGCTAGAGACTTAATTTTTTTTTTTTGTTCGTCTTTATTTTCAAAATGACGCAGAATGCAGTATTCCGCACATCAAAATTCAATATATGATTATATATAAATATATATATATATATATATATATATATATATATATATATATATATATATATATATATATATATATATATATATATATATATATATATATATATACCCGACGGGCATTTGTTTTTAAAAGTTACGTTCTAAATGTATTTTAAATGTCTTTTAAACGTTTTTTGCGTAAGAATGTTTATTTCATTTCCTTTGCCTTATCAGAAAATTTACCATGACAAAGATTGTGCGTATATATCGCATATATATGTCCGATATGTACTAAAATTACTCACTTTGACGCAGTCTTCTTGTCCTTCGTTCTTTGTACCTTACAGGTTAATTTGTTCATTTATTTTTTAACAATTGTTTTCATTCTCTTCTTTAGCTTTCTTATTTTTTCATGTTTAGGATAGGGTGGGGCAAGATGTCCATAATTCACGTCCCATGTGCATTTGAATAATATTGTTTAATTCCATTTATATACTATTTACATATTCAGCAAATAATTGGTTTTAATTAAGTTATAACTTTCAAAGGATTTTCTTACTAAATTACAAGAAAAGTTATAACTCTATATATATAAAAACTCAAAACAATAGAATACAAAGATTTAACCAATATTAATCTACCTAGGTCTCACAAATGCACAACGGACATGACTTTTAGAACATCTTGCTTCACTAAAAGTTAAAAATTGTATTTTTATTATTTGTGTGATTATGATAAAGAAATGTATGTTTGTGGGTAATTTATTCTACAATATTCAAAGTATAAAAATTCTTAAACTTAGTATATGTGTGGGGCAAAATGTCCTGTGATTATTTAGTTTGAAAAAATTTTAGGTAGGTTTATTTCTTTTGAAACAAAACATAATTATTCAAACTAAATATTTACAGGGCGTTTTACCCCTTTTTACTAATTATTATGTTATTCTATTTGTAAAATGTTTTTTGAGATTACATATTTTTTTGTAGATCTTTTCCCATCCATGGGCAATTAATTCCTTTGAATAATTGCCCCGTTGTATTTTTTTTCATTTTATATATATGAAGGATCGCTTAAAACGAGAAATCAACCACAAAAACACTACGTGATTGGTCAGCGCACACGCACACTATAAAAATTGCTTAAAACATAGGAAAACTTATTTTGCGCTCACAAATTGAACACAATAATACTCAGTGGTATATGGTACTATTATTTTAACCAAAACTAAGAAAAAGATATAACTTAATACCTTTAATTAGTATGCTCATTTCAATTATTATAAAAATCTGACTAAATTCACTCAATTTAAAAACATAATACTCTCATTTTAAAAGGAGTCATTATAATAAGAAATAAAACATCATTTTAAACAAATTTAATCGATAATTATTTTTCAAATTCGTTATAAAATGACCTAAAAGCATATTAAATCACGTAATAATTTATGTCATAAAGTCTAGTTCAAAAAAGCGACATAAAGAAGAAATATTCCAATCACAACAGTTACAATTACAACCTTATTTATTTCAAAGCTCTTCTGCATCTAATTCTGGAGAAACAATTTTGTAAATCTTTTGTAAGAAACAATTTTTATAAATCCAACAAAAACAACGAAATCTTTTATGCAGACAACAAGTGCAGCGTTGACATCATTATCGGCAAAGTCTTTGAATAATACTTCAGTTTCTAATATTTCTATTCCTCCTATTTAGCAGGACTCGATATTAAAGTTTCAGGGTCAAAGTCTTTTGGTAAAATTATCTTAAGACTCATGTAATTTGAGAAACAAAACGCAAGATTTTGGTAAAAGACACATTTTTTGGAAAAAGAAGTTTATTGTAAACTTAATTGAACGGGTATATAAATTACTTTTTCTTAGATTTAAAATATTATTAAGAACAATGTAGTGCATGATTTTTATATATTTTAGGAGATTGATACCTTCATCCACTAAATCTGATACTCGAATAAATAAATCACAAGATAATGTCGAGTTTTTTTGTATATTGTGTAATCAAAAGTTTATAGCTCGTATTGGTCGAACATCCAACATTAAGAAGCATTTACAAAGAAAACATCAAGACCATTTGGGTAAGTGGTTTGACTCATACGACACACTAAACAAATTAAATAAAAATTGAAACGTGCTAGATGCCGATACTATGTACGCTATCAAGTTCTTTATAACATCAAACTGCTCGATTAACGCTTTGAATAATCATTTTTTGAGGAAAATAGTCAAAGTTCCACTTCCTTGTGCAAAAAGTTTTAGAGAAAACGTGATATCAGAAACGATGGCAAAATTATCAAACATAGTTATCACTTTGTTTAGAGATATATGGACATCTCCTGAATGTTAGACTTTATCGCGGTTGGTGCAACATTAAGGAACAGTGGTTTAAAAAAAGAAATTATTATTATTGGTATGAAACAGATGAAGGGACGTCACAATGCAGAAAATATTAATTAGGAGTTGAAAAGATTATGAATACCTTTACCTTTATTAAAAACAAAATGGTACTTTTTTTTTAATTTTATAGCTTTAATTACTGTAAATACAATGAACTTATTGATTACTTAACTTATATTTATTTAAAAGCTATTACATGTGATGAAGGGAGTTCATTCGTCAGACTGCTTAAGCAATTATTTGAAAAGTGTCAAGAAGAAAGAGTTGAAGAGACGAAAAGTGGCAATAGTGCATATAAAGATGATCCATTGCTGAACCAAGAGATTGCCCTTTATATTGAAAAAGAATATAATGAGCAGCTAAAAATAGGTAAAGATGAAGTCTTTAATAATGAAATACAAACCTCAGATGAACTTCTTCAAGTGCTATTAGCTGAATCAAGGAATCTTACTTTTACGAATGTTATTCAGTTAGCTAAAACAGCTGAAGGAGTCAACATCAATTATGTTGACTTCTTCAGCTGAAAAGAATCTTTGATAGATTGCTGATGTTTTGCCTGCATTGACTATTATGATTTCAAAATGGGGTAGAATGGATTTACAAGGAAATGGAAAAGAACATGCTAACTTGTTAATTTCTTCTTTCAAATTAAAGTTTCAGTACGAACTTAACACATGAATTTATTAAGTAGCATCACTGTTGAATATCTCAAAGCTTAAATTGTGGTTCTTTAGATCTGTTTGTCAACTTATTGTTACGGGTATTTAGTTTTTAAGTTATATTATTTAATTAAGACAAAAAAAAGTTTTAAAATTTAGTTTAAAAAATAGTTCTTCAAAACCTTATTAATAAATTTAACTACTTTTATATATTAATTTATTATATTAAAGTTTGTATTACAACCTAAAAATTGTTTAGGAGCAGAAGAAAAGCTACATGAAGTCCTGAGATTTTCTACGCCACATAATAAATGTCAAAGTGCTTCAGAATCGTAACCAGGATTTGAGCTTACAGAAACGAAAGAACGATTGAGTTCAAATGATCAGCAAACTGATTCGCTCAGCGGATTTATGCTAGATGATAACTATTGCTTAGACGCTCGGCAACCTAATTTACAACTTGAAATTGAACTAATTTACTTGAAATGGAAAAAGGAAAATTTTACTTTTTTAAGCAAATCGAAGAGAAAGGACTTGCTCTATCTGCGTATCTTTCTTATGATTTTTGGTTCGAAAATTCTAAAATGCCAATGTTACGAAAGTTATTTGTCACCTTTCTAAATATTTCATCATCAGCAGCTTTAATAGCGAGATATTTTAGTACTTTTGGTTTTGTATGTGAGAAGACACGAGGAAACATGAATGCTGATCTGATTATAAGTCGCTCATTGTTAAAAATAAAGTTAAAACTTCTCGAAAGTTTAAATGATTTTTCGGACGACGATGACTTAAATAGTGAAATGTAAACTTATAATATGAAAATAATATACTTTTTGAACTTGAAAAGCACAGAAATAAAATGAACATTTATTGCAATAATTTCAATAATAACACAATGGTTAAAATAAAAAATTATATTATATCTTTGAATTAAAAAATAAAAAGTAACAACTTATTAATTCGCGTTTTCTAAACAAATTTTTAAAAATAGATTTGGTAAGTCGCGTTTGTGTCAAGTTCGCAAACGCATATATACGCGTAAGTTGGGTTTTAGTTACGTTTACAAACGCATTTTATATGCGTAAGTTGCGTATTAAATGCTTGCGTAAACCACGATAACTTGCGTAAACGCGGTTGTTTGCGTAAACTGCGTTTACGTTTACGTAAGTAAACGCAATACGTTGCGTCAAATGCGTTTGAGTTTGCGTGTGATTTTTTATTTTGGAACGCAAACGCAAAACGCAGTTTTTTTGCGTTCTAATGTATGGATGGATGTATAGCTCATTTTACTGTAAATCAATTCTTCTACAATATTTCAAGGGAATCATTA